GCACGTTCAAGCCATATGTCATTTTAAAAATATAATAAAAACACAAAAGGCATGCCAAATAAGTCCCTTAAACAAAACTCGATGTTTGAAAAATGCGGGTGCCAACGTAACTGTACCCTGTGTGAATAATGGATGCCATTAAACACTTACAAAACATAATGGATAAATAATCGGATATTCTCCTCGGAAAAGAGCTGTTATTCATAATTTCAAGGGAAGGCTCATTTAATGATTCGGTTAAAAATAATAGTGCTTGTGGTCGGCATGATCATGTAATAGTTTCAGAGACGGAGTACTAATTTACGAAAAAAGACATGACTGATATTATTCGTATCCCCGGATTCGTGACACTGTTGAACATGAAGTAAACAACACTGACCTAGAATCAGTCTAATTAAAATAATTACCCTATTCTCAATTCCGGATATGTTTGTAATGAAGTAAACAATTAATTTAACGACATTATTAATTAAACTGGAGCCGGCCGGGTTTTATCAAATAATGGTGCGTGTACACGTATAATTGGCAATAAATGGAGTGTTAAAATCGCACGTGCGTGCACTTGTTGGATATGGGAATGCACGCTATTGAGACATTTAACGTTTTGTTTCTTTAAATCCGGCGCAAATTGCTTCATACTTCGTGCTCGTGCTACGGGATTCAATGTCAGTTGCCAAGCCCCTGTGATGTTAACGTCTGTCGACATGTGTTGTTGATGTCGCCCGATACCTGGAAATGTCCTCTTAGCGTCGGCCAATAGTTCGAAATGAGAAAACGTCGAATAAATGGTCATGATCATAACAGTTAACATCGGCTGACATCTTGAAAAAAGTTGTTAACACTGACCGACATTTGAAAACAACGTCGGTCAACATTTTTAGGTTTCACGTTGACGTCAGGTTTTTAAGTCTGTTTTTATGTTTCAAAACGAAAACAATTTGTAAGGCCTCTTGTCATTTTGCATTACATTGTACAGCTTATGATGACTGTATTCTTTGTGTATTTCTCGGTGATTTCTACTACGATCCATTCCAAGGCAGTCTAAATAATATAAATCATGTGTAATAGATGTCCCATTTTTCTTTTAGTTTTAGGTCTTCAACCGGATGTGGCCGGCGCAACCTTCATGGCCATTGGGACGTCAGCCCCAGAATTCTTCACTGCGATAATAGGTAAGCACGTTGCGCCACTGTGTATGTATGTGTGTGTGTGTGTCCTGTCATCTGAGCATGCACGCGACATGTAACAGCGTACTTGGTTATGGTAGAAGCCTACTCATAAACAAATATATCTATAAATTTTGCAATGAAGTGTACTCCTGGTCAATACAAGAGTGATGACGCCAAAATTACCAGCCTAATGATGGTTAAATTAATTTTGTCTGTATTTCAATGCTTTTATCATTGGTTCATATGGAAATATTACGTCATATATTAAGTTGTGGGATGGTGAAATGATGAAAATATTATATCTCATACCTGGTAAACAATTTTTTGTTATCCTGAATTATTTCAAAAATCTGTTGTTTTTTTCTTCTTATTTTAAAGGGAACTGTTCTAAACTCTCATTTTGTTTGTACTAACCGGATTTTCTCTCTCAAAAGACGGTATTGTAACACACAAAGGGGTCCTGTTTCTTGTTACTATTGAACTGAGGCGCCTTGGCTGTACATACTAAACCAATAAACATATTCTTGAACTTTACGACTAACTTTCTCAAACAAATATGCGTAGGTTTTTGAAATTTCCCAAAGCTGAAGATGAAAATGACCGCTGTTGAGAACTTGAAGTTACTATCTTTTGGGAAACGCCCTCCCCCCGCCAAATGTTTAAAATTGTGTTGAGAATCGTCAGTATACTTCCAGATATAAACGGAGAAATATAACAATTGACCATTAGACCTCAGGTTGCTATCTACACACAAATATTTGTTGAAATGTAATGAGCTTTTAATTATTTTAATGCCGGATATTTATTCTATAAATTTATCGTCAACATTTATTATCGCCGAATTAACAGTCCATTTAGAAAATAATTGTGACAGTTGTTCAAATTAAAAATGACCGTGATCTTTTTGAATACTCCCATAACTTAACCATTTTACCCACGACGATGAGTATATTATTGGTCTGAAGTTACCAGACCAGAGTATGCGGCATCAGGATGGGCTCAATAAATAATAATAATAATAATACGTGAAATCGAGTCACGATTCTCAGTATCAACAGATGTTTACAGGGCGATGGGAAGGTATTTACGACTCAAAACCAAACAAACCAATAAGTGCAGAATATAATTTATGTCATTCATGCAAATGCCGACAATTATCTGTGAAGTGTCCGTGTGTCCTGGTATTTTACAGTTCTCCGGGTAAAACGCCCCTAGAAGGGCATTCCGGGCATATCATGCATCTTACTTCGTGTACTGATTATTTTCCCCCCATCTTTTCCCTAACGTATTCACCCATTAACAATAATGGTTCACTCTTTATGTGGTTTAAAACAATCATGCAGGTAACCGTAGCCACGTGTCAACTGTGACCTTTGCTCTCGGAGAGTACAGATGCAATGCTGATCGGTGCGAAGCTCATTCTGTTAGCAGTACACGGTGATAATTCGGAAAGGGATATGTAATTTATTACAAAAGTAGTTTCGATTTGTTCAATAAATTATTATTAATATCCGAATTCGTTTAAAGCGTTTTGACAAACAAAACAATATTCATACTAGTCCGCGATTGTTGACCAGTTCTGTCAAAGGATGTACTATCGTATTTGCTTTGTCGCCGTACGGTGTTCATCACAGCAAGCGAAGATCATTGCGTCCGATGGGAAGCTTGTTCAGCATACATGCATAACATCCGGTTTGTGTTTGCAGTCCGATCAAAAATGTCTAGCTACCATGTTGTTCTTACCTGTGTTCAAATATAAATAAGATATGGAATTAAATTTGTTTGAAATTTAAGTTTGGCATTATATTAAATCATCAATGTCACAAATACCGGTAATATTGTAATCTGGTCAAAGCAAGATGGCCGACTGGTAGCCATTTCTTTCAAGAAATGCGCAGCTTTATTTAATTAAAACAGCCACATACTGATGCCGTTGAGTTATCACATGGCCGCATTAACACATCTACTTTACGAATGTTAAGGGTTACATTTTGTTTCCAGTCGACACAGTCTTAAACATACTTTATACATACATAATTATTTCGTCGCATGTACTCGCGATATACATATATATGTATAAACAGATGTATAGCACAAACCATTTAATCGATATTAAAATAAATAGCAATAAATACGATAATTAGTCCAGAATCCTGGGTATAAAATTAAACATAATGAATATCCAAAATTGTTCAAGCATGCATACAAAATGAAATTATTCATCATCAATAACAGATGCTGGCTTAGTATAAAAATCATACAGACATGTCTGATAAATAAATTAACAAATATTTATGACGCGTTTATTTTAGAACGGATATATCTTTCGCGTGATTGTCAGCGAAAACCAAAAAAAAGTGTTTTGGCAGTGGAAGTTTCGCCTGAATCATACACATCAAATGCCCAGAAGCGTTAGAACCGACACTTAGAGAAGATTTTATCTTCATGGTGTTTCTCTAAAATATGGTTGTTTTAATTTCTCCCTAAGTCCGTATATTCGTAAGACTGAGGGTGTTTTTTTTATTTTAAACGCTTATATGTCTTAACCAACCAAGTGCCCATGGATTAGAATTCCATTGATCGAAAGGCTTCGTAATTAAACGGTCACCATGTGTCTTATTTCAAATACAAAAAGCTGTAAATAAGGCAACATATGTACGCAAGTAGACCGACCTTTCTGTGGGAATGGCCCGAAATGGACGGCTTCCGGATTGTAAGTGCCAGGTGAAATATTTTGTTATGAACATCAACAGTTGTGCAAATATCCACCCGGGGATGCAAATCGCTGTTCGCTTGAAATTAAATATATTTAGTTAAATACAATTAAGCAATATCCGAGGCTGTATTTGCCTCAAAGTTCAACATTTTCAAAAATTCGGTTCCTATTACGTATGCTCCATCACTGAGTTTTAGACAAAATGTCTTATTTACGTACGTGTATTCGGTTTGAATATAATTAAAAATGAATGATAATTATTATTGTAGTCGACAATTACTTATGCTTAATACAATACATTGAATGTTGTTGTGGTACGATAATTTTACGGAAAACCACGAGTAGACTTCTACATTAACAATCCAGTCATTTACAACACATATGATACATGCGCACTGCATAGTATTCTAGACTAATAGTCTGAGAACAGACCATTAGAAACTATGGGGGTCGTAGGGTAAACGCAAATGATTGTTTTCTTCACTTAAGTTTGATTTGTTTCAAGGTCATGAACTGCTGTAGACTCTTTTTTTGCTTTAAAATACTTTTTTTTTTTCAGTCATTTTCCTTCGACTAGTATATGTGTACATGTCGCACCCCTGTGTTGTTACTCACTGTTTTTGTTTCTTTTCTTTAAGGCACCACCGTAGCAAAGGATAACATCGGTCTCGGTACCATGGTCGGATCGGCAGCTTTCAACCTGGCGTTTCTCATAGGACTGTGCGCTCTCGTAGCGGGAACGGTAAGGGCAAACAGTGCGCGGTATAAACGACACACGAAATAATGGCACGGGTATTAAGGTAATCATGGCACAGATATACGGCAAATGAAAAATGACCTAGGCGGTAATAATGGCACTTTAATAATGTCTTGTGCCAAAACATAATCCGACAAACAAAAACAAAGACTGTTTTTTCTTTCACGTATCATGGTGTTGTTGGAAATATCTCGGGGACACCTGGATATTTTAGACATTTTCAATAAACGTTACCAAGGTTACAAAGATTGTGGACGGAAGCGAGTTTCGGCCACCAATATTCCACTCGTAATTTTGAGCACAGAACTTTCGGCCACACACGTGTTTTATATTTTATCTTATTTTCATATTTACTTTAGAAAACAGCCTTGACAAGGTTTATAAAAATTGTCTAAAATAATATAATTTCAGTTATTTTCGACAACACCAGAATCACTATGATAACAATTATGTTTAATGACATAATAGTTTTCCCCACAATATCTCACGATAATGTACACCCCTATTTGCAAGAAAGTTCATTTCAACAACAAAAACCCGAACTCTGGTGGTGGTGACTCCTAAAAACAATAATGAATCGCATGCTAGGTCACACTTGATTCCGTCGAAGAAGGGACTAGACGTGATAATGTGTTCAGCTCTGATCTTCTCCTTATCCAATATGGCACTGTGGGAGATTCAACATTGGTTAAATAAATTATTAGTAAATTATTATTTCCTGTGTCATTTGTACCTGTGACATTATTTCCCAAAATTTATTTTGAAAAATATTTCGCTGAGAGGGGTAAAATTTCTGCCGATTTCGAAAACCACCGGCGACCGTAACTGCGAATGCTCGTCCACTGACGCGCTTAGGTAACGCCCAATTAGTAAAATCAGCATATCATTTCAAGTTGTAAACGAAGTTCCGTAAAATCACGACCTCTCTGTCATACTGACGCTCGGAGTTGGTCACGTGATAAATCATTAGATATCATTTATTCATAGAGCAGCACATCAAGTGATTTGATATTTTTGGAAAAGTGTTTTTGTTAGAAAATTTAACACATTGTAAACCCACAATTTAAATGTTCAAAACAAAATACTGCATATCTTACGGAAACATAAATGAGTCATTAAAGTGTTTATTGATTTGACATTTACGAATTAATGCAACCACAACAATATAAATCATTCTATAGTCTGGGACTCGTATAAATTAAACATCATGTCACATATTCCATTGACCTAACTCAGACGACCAACGAAGATGACGTAATTCAACGTATAATGGGATGATAATGATATCGCCTTATTCAGAATGTATTTTTTACGTTTTATGATGTATCGACTTCATTAAATTCAAATACTTCATCATTTAGCAGTATATCAGTACCACCCCAAGCACCAAGTTATTTGAATGTCCTCTTATATGACCTTACAAACGAGATACTCCGCATTTGGTAAAAAATAGTGGCGGCTCGAATCACACCGGAGCATTATAACATTTCTCCCCTCAAAAACTGTTCAATTTGAAGCACTGCAGAAAGCGAAAGCGCCAACATTGTTTCACCCCCCCCCCCCCCGAAAAAAAAACTACTATACAAATACAAATACAAAAACAAATACAAATATAAGACATATTTGTGTAACTAAAACACCTTTCTCGAAAAATTCTTTTATTTTGTAGCACTTCAGAAAACAACATACACATGTAATATTTCAACCTAAAACGCCCGACTCTGTGCGATTCATAAAGTGCTTATGTACAGGATATTTTTGTATCCAGTCTTTGGTATGCATCCATAATAAATAAATTGCATATTTATTTTTAAAAAGGGAAGCTTGCCCACACACGTCACTATTATCAGTAGACATACTGTGCATATAGCGATAATTTATCATAATGATGATTTTATTATTTCCAATAATAAACAGCTTTATGTTTCGCTGTATTTTGGGTCTGCGCCTACCACTTCAATTTCGTAAACTTGATAATTCAGCGCTAGACAGGCGTTATAATTCATGTCCTTCTTAACTAGTATTCTACTTGCGGCCGGGAGCCTCAATGTTGAATGTATCTGATATGGTGATTACCACAGATCTGTGCAAATTTGCATGTGATTTTAAACGAGCCCAACTAAGTGCATACTAATACATAAATATTTCACTATTATTCAGAAATGCCATAAATAAAATGCAATACGAAAACTAATATCAAACAATAATTTAAGTTGTTACTTCTTCTTGAGATACCTTTCGTAAACGTGTATATGTTTATAAGTGACTGGTAACTTTTGTGTCGTGCGCATGCTCATTCAACGATTGGAGTATACTACTAGTATCAGGGGCATGTGGACAGGTTCCATGTTACGTAGTGAAATTATATCCACTTGAAAAGGGGTATAATTTCATAAAAATAAGTACGTGTTTAGAGGCTTTTTTGAAAAGTTATACTTCAGCATTGGCACCAGGTCTGACTTGGAGTACCCCCCCCCCCGGGTGTACTTTACAAATAATTATGTACGGTGCATGGGACCCATACCGTCCATGCCAAGAAGACTGGGATCCTTTATAGTCAAAACAAAGACGTTGACCAAAATCGTTCACCGCCTGGCTTAATGGTCAATATTGACGTGAAAATCAAATCGATTTCCAGTTTCCAATGCAATGTTCTAATTGGATAACTAGGCTTGTCTCTTCATTTCCGGTCTATGGTTTAATTCGAGTTTGAACCAGTCATTGTTTCTCTTCAAATAATCACTGCACTTGTCATGAGTACATGCGTCTTCCACGGGCACTAGAGCACTTTTGTTAGAAATGCATATAGAAAGTGGTAATTCATAGAATATGATTACTATTGCCTACAAAGATGTACATGACAGTTGAACGCGCGCTGCGTGACGACATTGGCGCTTTGATTCCACACACAATTTTACCCTTGCATGTATGTCTTTCTGCAGGTCGGTCATTTAGATTGGTGGCCTTTACTGCGTGATTCAATGTGCTATATTATCAGTGTCATTGTCATCACCTTGATGATTTCAGACAGTTTAGTTTATTGGTAAGTTTATATTCATTTACAATTTTGATTGATTTCATTTTACCGCTTTTTATACATGCTTGTTCAAAATGCGCAAGGACGATGGTTCTTATTTGAGGGGCGGACCATTGCGTTTGACGGGGTGGTAAATTAGAATAAAACATAAATTGCAGAGAAAAATGCATGAACGTAAACAATACATGCGTTGTAAACGTGGCATGAGACCCACTCCAATACAACGTTGTTCGACGAATGAAGAACGAATGCGTTATATTTTTTGAACTAAAATTACTGCTTTTTTTAATTTATTTCTGACGTTGGTTCCAGGTACGAATCGACGATGTTGATTGTGCTGTATTTCTTGTATATTTTACTAATGTATATGAACCCGAAAATAACGAATCTGATAAAAGGAAGTGACGTACGGTCACCGGAAGGGGAATGTCACAGATTGGATACGAAGGAAGATAAAAACTACAAATCTACTGTGGCCGAGAACACGGACAATCTAACGAATGGGTTGGTCAGCACATGTGATGGAGACTCTTTGATTAACAGTCATTTGGAGAAAAACACCGATAACGATGCTGGTAAACGCGAAGATGGAAACAAGTCAAAACAGAATAAAACTCACCGGGAAACAACTGGATTAAATACCAGTACTACGCAAGGTGTTTATAAATGTTGTAATAAGACATGCCATGAACCAACTATTCACAGTGAGCTATCGTCTCCAAGTTCAAGTGAACAAACGCGTGTATTTTACACGCGTTGTGGACGTCGCTGCGAGTCCCATATTGAACAGGGCGGCGTGACGGCCACCACCTTTTAAGTTTAAATTGTGTACTTTAGAAATTGCTGCCGCTCTTCCTACATGTTTTTTCTTAACTACTAGATATTTTTCTGCCATAACCGAGAGGGTGATAGTTAATTCGTAAATACTAAAATAACTTGTGTGCGGTAAAAAATGGTACAGGGAATGTTCACCTGTATAGTTTTTTTCTAAATTCGAAATAACTACACACGATCTGATTTCGACCCTGAACGTAGCTAAACTTTACAGAACTTTACTCGTGTCTTGTTTTTGTTCACGAATAGATTCGTACGGCTTTAAACACATTGAACCGACACCGTTGTTTGAACCACCGGAATCATGCTGTCGGCGATTGATATGGGCCATCATGCTTCCGATGTCCATCCTTTTCTTCATCACCATCCCAGACTGTCGCAAAACAAAATGGCGTCAGTGTTTCATGTTGACTTTTCTCATGTCGACGGTATGGCTGAGTTTATTATCGTACATTCTAGTGTGGACTGTCACCGTTACAGGTAAGAGGGTAGGCTTATGCTTGTAGTGTCAGACATATCTCCTTAACTGCAGCGTTCCAATTTATAAGTTATTCAGGCATCAAAAAATGGACCCTTGTCGGCCATCTTCATGAACTATAGTCATGATGTTAAACATTATGGTATATTTTTAGGCTACACCATTGGTGTGTCCGATGACGTCATGGGATTAGTATTTCTAGGCCCTGGAACAAGTGTACCAGACCTAATGGTTAGTTTAATTGTAGCAAAAGAAGGTAAGATTGAACTGTAAATGAAATTCAGTAAACCGGTTAGGTATTAGTTTTTGAGCAGCTTGCGGTCGTAGCGATTGAAAACAACGAAGACATTTTAGCGTGTTCGGTTTTATCGCAATTAGTACGGATTAGGGATGTGTTGCTATGGGGGGGGGGATGACTACTCAATCCGACGAAGTCAACATGCTCAAATTAATTGCTGTGTTTGAATTACAACCACCGATAGAGGACGAAATACAATAATTGTGATATTTTAAGTCGTAGTCTACTTAGTATTGCTGACTGAATTGTATTTTATATATGTACTTCTTATGAAATTTGTCACAGTGTACCGACACAAGTCGACGCACATACGGTGACAGTGGTTGAAAAAATGTCGCACAACTGCCACATCTTTTTCATATGGACATTAAATTATTATTTGAATATTTTTTCAGGTTTCTGGGACATGGCTGTGTCGAACTGTATCGGAAGTAATGTTTTCGAAATGTTACTGTGCCTCGGCGTGTCTTGGCTCATCTCCTCGTTCCTACCTCCGTTTAACGTTCATCATCACACCGTCAAAATGCTAGAAAATGGACTGACGTATATATCACTAATGCTACTGGGTACCATCCTGGCGGTCAACGTAGCCATTGTTTGCAATAACTACAAAATGGACAGGAAACTTGGAGTTTTTCTCATATGTTGCTATGTAGCGTTTGTCGTTATTTCTGTCATGTACGAAATGAACATATTTGGAGCTGTGAGTCTTCCGATGTGTACATCTGCCGGGTAGGCACGTGACATGGATTCGCACGAAGAATTTTGTTTGAAAAAAAAAATATTTAAAAAAACATGACGCACGCAGCTAGGGTGTACATGTATTCATATGCTTGTTTCGAATGCGCGTCATAATCTGTCTGATTAGGTCATCATTTCATAGACTCGTACGTCTCGCGCGTACAAACAAATGAGCCTCAGACTACTAGTCTGAGAATGAACGAATGTATTCAGGCTGTTTCAGGGTTTCGCGATATTTCATATCTAACATTTGCCTGCCATGGTTTCATAGATGGATATTTGAAGGGCGATTAAGGTAATTATTGCACGACTGACCATGAACGAGGAAAAAGACAGAAAATGACGTACTCAGATAACAATACCACGTGATGATGACGCCCGTCTATTGTTTATGGACTGGAAATGGTCTTCGGTTTAGGCAGGTTCCTAGTATACACAATGAATTCGGTTTAGAGAGGTTCAAGTACATACTCCTGACAATCATTTACATATTTAACGTGTCGTTCTCCAATTTACATGTTTCGTCTTTGAAATTTCATCAACATGGTCGACTATTCAAGTTTTAAAACTTATGTTCAGGGGATATGCTCTTTCAAATGGAACTGAAATAAATTTGAACGTGTCAGACTTGCTTAGAAATGCATTTCCATGCTTAACAATGTATTTTACTAGTCGCATGGGACCCATATCGAACCCATCGCTGTGCGAACACACTGTAGAATAGAAGCAATTATTATATGCTGGTTTTAAAATTTACTGCTACATTTATATATTAGCTTTGTCCACAATGAATTTTACTAAGTCAAATCACGCTGAGAAAGTCCACACTCCTTATCTTTTCAAGTCAGTTGAACATCGTTAGGTTACCTGTCCGACAGTGCAGTGCAGTGCAGTGCGGTGCGGTGCGGTGTGGTGTGGTGTAGTGTAGTGTGCAGTGATGCTAGTAGAAGTTTTCGGGTAGTAAAAATGACAATTATTTTATAGAAAAAATGTTTTAAACCATATTAAATTATATATTTTATGAAAGCTCATAATTCACACTAGTTAACAATTGATGTTACGTTAGATAAACCTTAATGTGGTCACGTGACTGCTAAGTAAATAAATCCTTTGTTGAAGATTCAAATGAGTGCTGTGAACTAATTGAAAGGGATAATGCAATTTTTGAAAAGAAAAATTTAGAATAAAACATGAGAAACATAACAGCGATCTTGGATAACGTTTTTTTTAAAACGTTTTTAATTTTGACCACTGTTTTAAGCATGTTCCATTTACGAAAAAGCTTTAAAATGTTCATAGAATACAGTAATTAGATATATAAAATATAAAAAGTTGCATCCCTAATAACAAGAATCGGTAAAACTTGAACATATATTAAACGATAAACCGTTTTGGTGACTACGCCGTAATTTCGTCAATTTCATAGCATTTTTTTATTTCAAAAACGACAACAAACAAACAAAACAAATACAGGAACTCGTGGCTTTAAGGTCACTGATATTTAAATCGAATATTTAATCATGATATTAAACTGAAAAAAAAATCTTATTTTTACTAGTAAGTACAAGTTATTTGTGGAGAACTATGTAGACCGTACTATGCCAATACTAGGGAGAAAAAATCAATTTGTGCGTCTTGACTGTTCTGAACTACATTAGTAATTCAATTACCACTTTTCAAGTTGTTTTATATTTTTAACTCATTATTGATTATTTGTTTATAAACAACGCTGTCTAAATCAACGTAGGTTTTCTTGTCAAAATTCATAAATAACATTGGTTGTTTGATAGACGCAGGATCGAATCCGTCTTTCACCAGTTGTAATTTGGTGTGTTTGTACGTGCCGGTGACTTCTATTTCCTCCATTATCCTAATAAATTTAGGACATGCGTACATTGGTAAATAACTAGTCACGTGGGAGAACAAGTCACTGGGGTCCATTTGGGCGCCATCTTTGATCGTTATGGCAGCCATCCCGGCCTTTCCATCCACGTTACCTGCGGAGAAAGGTGGTTAATAAGAGTATATTTCATACAAATCAAGAATAATATCATTGAAAAATATATGTAAACATAATTTCTACGAACGAGTCGATGAATTGACAAATTCTAAACCACAATTTGAACCCTTTGTGTTAGTGTCCAGTGAAGAGCAAACTGTCACATGAAAACAGTTATGCACCTATGTCTACTTTTCAAATCGAGGCATATAACGATTTACCTGATTGGTGGACACTATAATATAATATTGTTAACGTGAATTACTTAATGTAATTGTTGTGTATGCCATACGACCATCATTGTTTAGAAATATCACCGCACCTTGACGAAACAATGTTAAAAGCATTCTTAGTTCTTACCCTGTACTTCAACGCCATAAACATTTGCTTCTTTGATGGCGGGGTATTCTCCAAGAACCTGAGCCACTTCAGTTGTCGCCACATTCTCACCTTTCCACCTTTGGTACGCAAGAAAGAGGCAATAAATATTATACTATTCCAATACGAAATACATTCATACATCCAATTTAAGTTCTCAAAAAATATCCCTACATTGGTTTATACCGTTACAGTTCACCATTTCAAACAGTAATAAAATAGTAGAAATACAAGCATACCGTTCTTTGTAAGTTTTTTTCTATTTTCTCAAAATAGAGGTGATCTATGAAAACGTCGTTATCGTTGCCGGCTTTGTTGAACTCACCTGAACGTGTCTCCAATACAGTCGCGGAAGTACAAATAATATCCGCTATCCAGAACCATTATGTCACCACTGTTGAAATACCGGTCACCTTGTACAAAGACGTTTTCCAGTATCTTCTTCTGTGTATTGGACTTTTCCCCAGCATACCCATCGAAGACAGCCAGTTTGTCAATACGCGTTATCAACAGGCCTTGCTCGCCTACATAAGGAGACACGTATAATGCCAATCCGATCTGTATTAGCTATTAATTCTGACCACAGTTCCTCAATCGGATTTTAGATTTGTGTCATATGTATTAATCATAGTATTAGTAGCATTACTGCGCTTATGTAAATTACATATCAAAATCCATTATGATCTTTGATAGGTGAACTGCGTGAGATTTTTTTAGAACGTGTGTGTATGATATCACCCGTCATTCTGCCCCGAGCTAGCGCATGAAATAGAGTAATTCACTACCCATGATGAAACAACACCCTAATCACTGGGTGAATTTTGTCATTATGTTTAATACATACCCAGTGGCACTCTGACACATCTTCCGTCCGGACCTCTGACAGGAAGTGACGATTCGTAGTCGAATTCAATAATATCGAACTTCCTTAAGAGCTGACAAAAAGTGTTGAATTTATAATTGTAATACGCCAAATGTAGGAGTGTTAAAAAGCTGAGCTGTTTTGCCACTTTCTTCGTAATTTTTTACAGCGGGCGCAAACAAGAGTCGGAGAGGAATATAGCGCAATATAGCGAGAGATGTTCTTATTGGCGCAATCAAATGAATGAATACGATTTGCTACATTTTACTTATTTTCTTTCACTGTTATTAGTATTACCTTTAGTAACGGCGACATTCGTCCAACGGCACCAACTCTGCCATCCATGTTACGGAAGAAAACGTTCCCTTCTGTGGCGCCATAAAATTCTCCAATAACTGGAATATTGAATCTGTTCTTGAACTCAGTCCATATATCGGGCCGAAGACCATTGCCGATAGCCATGCGCAGTTTATGATTAGTCTCATCCAGGTTCTAATGAATATAAAATGGAAGCCGCTAAGCAGTAACAAATACGGTATATATAAAAAAAAAAACCTCCAACTTCTTAACATTTTAATGACAAAGAGCAAGCTTGTTCCTATAGCAACAATGACTTTGTAACACCTTCACCCAAACACTACATTGAAAGCCTAAACAGGCGGCCATTTTGAATTGAATCAAAAATCATTTTACATATTTATTTTTGTAATGTATAGAAAAAAAACTATTGTATAAAAAAAATATAACTTGCAATGTAATCTTGGTCTGAAAGAACACTAAGTCACCCAAACGTAAAGCCAGAATGCTGACTCCATTGTGATAGGGAGTATATGTTACCTGTGGCTTGGCTAGGAGGTAACGACATGTCTCGCCAATATACACGATCACGGTTGCGTCAAATTTACGACAGTCCTGCCAGTAATGGGTGGCGGAAAACTTTTTACTTAACGCCAGTGTTGCACCTGTAAAAAAATACAATATAATCGATCAGATTGGCCTATGGTTCTGAGGAAATGGGCAATCGTGTTTGGATAACACGTTCAAGTGTTATCTGAGTGTTCTCAATAATCGTGCAAGAGTCAAATAGATTACGTACACAAAGACCAGTTGGGGACCGGGGGGCTGTTTGGGGTACTGGACCCCCCCCCCCCCGTTGAAACAATTATTCAATTTGTTTTTGCATAATATAAAATAATCATTAACTTAGTCTGGCGACTTTAATTTTGGACCCCCCATAAATAAATTCTGTATCCGCCCCTGAAGACGACCCGGCCGCAATGTTCATACAAAGCTGCTGTCTGATAACACATCAGTGCATACGTTTTACATCGAGCATCTTGCTCCAGGAGGGGGGGGGGCTGTGAATAAAATATGGTGCGCAAGCTGAAATAAAAAACGCGTAAAAAGGGTGTTATTTAATTATTTGACGCGTGTACGCGTGTATAGTCATAAAGTGTGAAAAAAGGAATCTCATGAATTCATGTTACCTCAACTTGGAAACAGTATGATTTTAGTATGTATATAGGGTATCTATTTCGAGTTTCTGCACTTTAAAAGGGGTTTACTTTTACCAAAACAAGTACGTGTTTAGAGGTTTTTTTTTAAAGCTATACTTCAGCATGGATACTAGGTCTGACTTGGAGTACTCCTGGACATCTTGCGTACGATTGACTCGAACAAAGCAATATATGATAACGCCGCGAATGGTGGAATGCGCTCTTACCTCTTGTGACAATGCCTGAAAACGTGATGAGAAAAGCTGAACTGTGGTACAAAGGCAGAGGCGTGTACACAACGTCTTTGTGTGTGATGTAAAATGAATCTAGAACATGTACGATCAAAGTCAGTCGTTCGTAAGATATCTTTGCTGGCTTTGGCAGACCTGTATAGGAAAGGTCAAATATTTTAATCCTCATAGCAATCGTATTTCCTTAGTGGTCACACGTTTTCGCGGTAATAAGGCTGTTCCATCTCTCCTAATTTCTCCCAATACTCAAAGCATCATCCCAGTAAGTCGCGCCCTCTAGCGACGAAGCTAGAGCAAAGTTTGGGTAAGCAAAATTCGGCGAGCAAGATTTAGCAAGTCACCGGATCAGATGGACTCTCGCCGTAATGGTGAGGAGCATTTCTCTTTGAAAATTATAAGGGCACATACTTGATTTCACTCAGCACTAATTTCCAACCTCATGAGCGGAATTCATAACATGCTTAATATAATAATAGCGTACTAGTACTATACACAGTTATTAAGTTATGGTTTCTATGGTTACCTGTTGTTCCCGAAGTATAGATGTACAGACACACATCCTTGCGTTTGACTCTTCTCAGATATCTAGGAATTGCGTCAAATGACGCCTTAGACACGTCACTGTCAATCCAGTGGACACCCTCACTTGTCTGGTCGGTAGAGGGCGTTCCTTTCATCCAAAGTTTGACGTCGACACTATCTATTTCCAAGATCGCGTCCCTCAGTTCTCTCTCTGTTAAAGCAACACATATCACCGAAACACTGAATCGGAATTATATATAAAGGTATAAAGTGAAGGCCAAAGTCAACCTACGCCACATCATCTTGTGGTAACAGCATTTGATTCGTGTAGTCATGTCACGGTGTCCTAATTTAGAAGGTAAAGTGCGTTGAACCATGGACGTACGAGTACATCCATGGTTGAACCGTTATGGAAGGTAGCAGGGACTACTATTTTCCATGGTTTAACTGATCTCAAAGAAAGCTTTACGTTTTGTAACCACAGTCCTTCTACCGGGTCATTTAATTATAGATACCATGGACGTACTTATTATAATTTAAATTTAAGATTCGAATCTTGTCGTGAAAAATCAAAACTAAGATCGGGCGGCAACTCAGCCAAGATGAAAGTACGTCTGCCTATTCATAAATTTAAGAAGAGTACAATAGAAAGACAATGCGTCTTATCAGATGTGAATCACCGTGCAGCGTCCATCTCTAGTACGTCCATGCATGGAAGGTACTATCTACATGGTCCATGCAGATACTAGTACTAAAAAGAGGTGTACAAAACTAGTTCACAGTTCGTTTATAGACATGGGCCTTTGGTGCATGGGACCAGGGAGCTGTAATGAGATTACAGCTCCCTGATGGGACATAGTATTCTAATCGATACCCAACAATACCTATACTCATCTTTGCCCACGACAAGTACCTTCGCATTGCTAACATCAAGGCAGTGTTGTAAAGATTTCGACCTGATGTTGTAATTGAGAAAAGCACACGAAATACCCAACTTTGCAAAGCCCAGCCACGTCCACAGAAACGCCGGTTCGTTGTACATAAACAACGCTACGGTGTCTCCACATTTCAGACCGCTGTGCCGTCTCACGAAATTGGCGAACTGGTTCGACAGGTAGTCGAAGTCGGCGTAACTGTATGATTCACTCTGGTACAGGATGCACGGCTTTGCTGAGAATTGCCGACTGTGGGCGATCTGCAGGATGTCGTCAACGATCGTGAAGTCTTGTTTTTGGCGGAGAAATACGCTAATGTAAATCCGCAAGCCCAGCAAAACCTCGGGCAGATCGCGGAACAGAAATGGATAGGTTAAAACGGCGATACAGAACACTGCCAATAACCCCAACAGTATGGTAATCAGCAATTCGAACATTGTGTTACCACGATATTCGCACCGACACCTTCGTATGGCACTCCCTTTCGAAAATTCGGCCTGCTCTAACGACCACTAACAACAAAGTTTAAACAGCCCATTAATAACAAAGTTCAGCCGTAGGCCACTATACTGTCTCTCTATCGTGACTGCACATAGACCTCATTGTTCAACTTTCACTCAGTTCGTTTGTAGCCATGGACTCAAAACGTGAGGTTTACACGTGAGGTTTGTTGAAACACTTAAAACACATATATAAAACATACAAATTTTACAAGAATTACTGAACCGCCGAATAGTTGGAGTTACGAACTAAAATCAATGTTGCCCAATAACTCAAGGTTCTGTTAACCACGGTTACTTTTTTATTAACCGTGAATCACCGTACTGCCTTCATAAACATTTTGCGGTATTCTCGTAATAACCTCATATTCAAAATGTTGTTTGTCGAGTATATATTCTACATAACTTGACAATTTCCAGGGGCAAAATGACGCGTGTTTTTTTTATTTGCCAAAGTTTCCTAACAATCGCATGCAAATTAAGTCAGCAATTGTAATGTCAATTGATGATCCGGCAATGATCCGGCCGGAAACAAGTATTAGTGATTTTCGTGGTTTCGGAGCGTGATGATTAAATTTAATAACATATGCTTGCTTTACATTACTAAACTGTTTTAATTCTATAATTTCTATTATTTTGAGCAAGGACAAGGTCCTGTACCGGGACATAGTCGCTCCATCCCATAGACATCCATGCATTGAGACGAATAGATCGTCAGGCCCCTGTGTTCTCATCATTTTATTATTGGGAGGAAAAGCTTTATACTAATAAGAAAAATTTCAGGATACCGCAAAGTATGCACTCAGACAGTACGTCGCTGCATCAACCTCCGCTGCGTGTTGGTCGATACTCTCGCTGTACTGTCTTCGTGTATACTTTTCGGTATCCTCATAATGACCTCAATAGTATTTGGATGTAATACTTCAAATTTAACAGCATGTATAACTTTTCCATTTATACCAAATATAACTATCATTCTTAGAGCATCTAGAGGGTATTCTATCAAACCAATTTACCCCTGTAGGTCCATTTTTATGAGTTTTTTTTGGGAGGAGGGAGAGTTGTGGTAAAAAACACCCCAATGGTAGACAAACTGCAATTTACTTCTTGGTACATGGTAGAAATTCAAATAAACATTGCCTGCAAAATTCGCTCTAGGGAGGGGGAGGGTTCGACCGTATCAGCACTTCCTGATCTATAATTTGGACGAACCAAATGTATATTGAGTGAAGTAACAAAAACGCAATGATGTACAATAACTGACAGTGTTCACATTTATTAATTTCAAGTTTGACATTACTGCATATATTGTGATGTGCATTTTGAAAGATCTAGGGGTGAATTACCCTCGTAGTCACACGCCACACACAAGTGATTGAAAATTCAATAAATGTAGAATATACATAAAACTGCATCACAGTGACTAGAGATTTATTCTGAAAAGAAATTTAAAAATGGAAGCTACACCATGTACATGTAATCAATGTTAGCATGTATGCAGTAATACATGTATAGCTTCATTGAAGAGATATGTCATGATTAGTAAACAATATTAAGTTTGAATGTATCATAAACATAGATTTGATCTACAAGAAAAGGTAGGAGGAGGCATACATTGTTTTTGGGATGGGTTCTATGCGGCGTATACAGCGCATGCAAAATCAGAACCAGGGTATTTGTTTATCTGAAATGCGAACATGCACTGGGGTGTTTCAACACACTGAGGCACAGTTGCGGCTCTGTGGATGCAGTAAATCGGTGACATTGCAACATAGTACTAGGATACCATGATCTGTGCAATGTACACAACTCGTATCATTTTTTTTTGCTCGATATCAATGCAAAAACACTTTTGAGATATTTTATCTAAAGCTTTCCTAAGTTAAAAGTTTGTCATGGTTACATAACATAACCCAAACATCCTTTCTTTGTGAGAAGTTTATATTTATTCAGAAGAGAGAATATATATATATATAAATCGAATTCATAGTTGTAAAACTAACTGATAAGTAAAATATTCTCAAATGACATTTCAAAATACAGCAATTCCTACATTGGCTAAAGTATTTGTTTGAAGACACCATATCATAAGTTAATTTTATCCAATATACCTGGCCTCTCATTCTAAACAGGAAGTTTCGTTGAACCCATACAGGTAATTAAACTCGTTGAAGCACTTGTGTCAGCTGCAGTAGATCACAAGCAGGATTTGGAATCATGTGATATTTTGAATGAGTCTTCCAGTTGGTGATGTCATCAAACTATTATCGTATGAAACCTCTACAAAGTGTCCATTTGATTTGAGAGTTGAATAATTGCTACCATATTATATATATCATCTCAAAATGACTATACCACTTAAAATCCTCTCGCATATTTCTTTAGGTATCAACTCTCCAAAAAAATTTACATATGATCTTCTAATATTAAAATAAATGACATTCGAGAGAAACAAAAATTACTCGCACTAGACAAAACAAATCAATTACCAAAACAATACATTTAAATATTTGTATAGCAAGTCAGTTTCAATATTATTTGTGAATAACTATATGCAAAGAAAAAAAAATATTTTGTTTTTTTTTAATCTGATTAAAACAGAACATCCCTTGTAGTCGATTTTCAGTACGGACTGCAATGTAGCTAATCAATACTGACCACACATGTGTGTTGTTAAAATGAATCATCTGAATTCTTCAGAATTTTTATTCTTGTATATATAGGAAATGTCATCCACAATGACACAAGTAGTGGTGTGCCATTTTTAAGTTAAAACATGTAAATCGCTTTAGTTCTGAAATGGAATCGGGGCAGACAATAGAGCATTCAAACAGCTAAACCTTCAATTTTAACATTCAGAATAATAGAAACATGTAGCAGTTTCAGACTTTCTTGTACAGTAAAACTTTGCAGATTATAAAAAAAATAAAAATAAAATAACACGATGACAAAGCGAGGGGGTTACCACCTGTGCATTTGGCAGATAGCCATAGTGTGTCGTTGATTACAAACAAGCATCTACCCATGAGCCTTTGTGTTTTTATCATGCGCTGCTTGGGACCCGATTCCCGAGCGTGCACGGGTGACAACCCCTCCCCTTTAATATGAAACAGTAACCAAACTACTTCATCATTTACCACTGATTAAAGAAAAAAAGAGAAATCCGGCCTTGATGATCAAAATACAGCAGAAATCAGTTCAGCTTGACCGTTGAAAATGAGCAGCATGCAACTTTTTGTTTTGTTTGATAATTTACTAAAACAATAACTGGAAGCTTATCAAGGTACAGTCAGTAAAATATTGTATCAATAAGAATCTGTCAACAAACAGGTAACATGAATTTATAATCATCGTAGCTACATTATCTCTGACTTTTTTTTGAGTCAGTTTGTGTTGTTGTCTAAACACTACTTTATTTTGGCTCATTTCATTTAAAATACAAACACTGTCATCCATTTGTCAAACTACACTGATTTCGCTGTGATAAAAGAAATAAATTTGTGTTAATAATTCTGTGTGTGTTTTTAGCCAAATTAAAAGACTTTTTTAAAGTTTGATATAATCAGATTTAATAGCAAAGTAAGGCATTGTAGGGTGGTTAGTAATATTACTGGCTGGCCTGAGCTTTATTTTCTGGTACCTCCTCCCCGTCATTGTGTTCTTCCGGTGCCCTGATATAATGTGCTGGTTTGTTTCCCTTGACAACATCATCATCAACATGGACACCAACAATTCCTGACCCAGGTACTTCAAACATAGCGTCCAGCAACACACCTTCCTATAGGTAAGAGAATAACAAGACATTTTTATTTTAGGTAAGATTCATTCACCCTTTTTCCAACCAAAATTTTGGTTGTACAATTTTGTACAGTTTCATGGATTGGCAGTGTCTTGGATATTTACAATCAGACACATGGCGCATGGTAAAACTGTAAAAACATTATTAAAACAATATTTTGAGCATATTTAGTGAGAGGTGATCTCATATTCTGCACTTCGGTCAAAACTAGGTTAACCTGGCTTGCCCTTTCCAGCCTTATTGGGCTACAGTATGCAAATTTGTAGGTCTGAATCTCACTTCCTGATGAACAGCACATTAACACCCCCACTGAAAACAAACAGAGAACAAAGAAAGACAGACAAGGGAAACCTAGGTTTCGATTAGAGCATGATGATTAGAGGAACCTGGGTTTTTCTTACAATACATTTCCAAAGAGGAAGATTCCAAAGAACAACTTTGTGCAAGAAAAAAATAAGATGCATACCATGGAGCTCCATGTTCATACTGAATGTTATATTTTGAAGTGTTATAAAGAATTTAGCAGTGATTTTTTTTTTGCAAGTCATGTAAATGCTCATGAAATAATTTGTTTCATAAATCTCTTTACATCATGTCATTTATAAATGTGATGAAAATTATATTTATTTATTTCTGTGATTGGTAATAATGATCAGTTTTCCACAACTTACATGCGATACAAGTCAATACAATTGTTATTGTGAATAATTAGTTGTACAATTAATTAAAAAATAGTCTGATATATATCACGTCTTTATTATTATTTTGTATCAAGTGAAACTATATACCTTCTATTGTGATATATGGTGAATCAATGTTTGAAACAGAACAGAAAAAAATGCAATAGAATTTTTAATGAGCAGCTTTTTAGGATGAAATACAGCAGTGTTTTGACTAAGTGAGAACGCAAGCAGACAATTCAGCAGATTAGCTAATATTTGCACAACAAAAATACAGTGTCAACAACGGCATTTTTTTAGACATGTGGGAACGTAGTAAGTATTTGTTATTTGTTTTGATACTTTGTGTCAACGGCAATTGAATAATAATCAAAGAAAGCTTAGAAAGAACTCTTGTGTGCTGAGAGAGTATTGGAGACACATTAAAAATTAGTTCAAAATTACTTGTACTTGTGATATTGATGGAAAAGCTGAAAACTAATTATGCAAATCAGGAAATTAATATGAACAGATTTGAGAGTAAAACTAATAAGGTCTGTGCAATGTAACAGACCATCTATGTACCAAGTTTCATTGGAAATTATGAATTATTATCCTAATAAGGAAATTAATATGAACAGATTTTTACCCCAAAACTAATCAGGTGTGTGGATTGTCCTAGAGCATCTATATACAAAGTTTCATTGGAATCGAATAAATAGTACTTTAGATATCTGTGTGAAAGCTTAAATTAGGTAATTATGCAAATTAGGTAATTAATATGCATGGATTGTTACCCAAAACTAATCAAATCTGCGCATTAGCTCAGAGCATCAATGTACCAAGTTTCATTAAAATCCAATGGATGGTTCTTTAGATATCAGTGGAACAGTCATGGAACAGCTAAAAATTAGCTAATCATCATGCGAATTAGGTAATTAATATGTATGGTTTTCACCAAAACCAAATTCATGAGGGCGTCCCAGGACGCCCTGTCTATTGCCTAGATGTTGAAACCGCGAAATTGAGTTTTATTTGGGCTGTTTAAGGTGGTTTGCGTTAACCCAGGTTTTACTCAATATTTGAATATGAGCTCACCCCTAATTTAACTTTTACTTGTCAGCAAAACAAAATTAACAAGTCATTGAAAATGACACAGTCCCCTTTAAGTTCTCTTTGTGCTCGTCATATTAAAGCGGAGGGGTTGTTGCGAGTGTGTCCTTGAAACTTGAGTTCCAAGTGGCGTATACAACAGATTGTTTATTTACATCAAAACACGTGTTTCGTGTCATAGTAATATGGCCAAAATAAAAACAGCCGTTATTCGGCCATCTTTGATCTGATTATGAAACACACTGATATGTATGATGTGCCAAATACGAATGAAAATGGTAAATTGTGGAAATATAGTATTAAGGCCAAAAAGTCAGATGGCTGTCAATCGGCCATCCTTGACCAGATTTTGAAACAAATTGTCATGGACATGCATCCTAAAATGTATAAAGTACATGTATGTGCCAAATTTGAATGAAAACTGACAGAGCACGTCCAAGATACCGCATAAAAAAACAAAAACAAGATGCCTGTCAGTCGACCATCTTTGATCCAATTGTGAAATAAATCGTCATGGACATGTATCCTAACATGTATAATCTATGTACCAAGTTTGAATGACAACTGACAAAGCATGTCCAAAATACAACATTTTTAAAAAACAAGATGGCTGCCAGTCGGCCATTTTGAATCGAATCGCTAAACTACTGCATGTGCATATGTCCCACATAAGGTACTAGGCACATGCAAAGAATA